AGGAATGTGAGCTTAGAATCCACACTGGTGAGGTTTCTAAGCCCACCCAATGAACCATTCCATATTGGGTATCTCGCATTTGAACAGCCAGAAATTTCTGGGGATCACGTACTTATTCAAAATTTAGAAAGAAGGCAATCACAAAATATTGATTATTAGAACAAATCTCTGACTTCTAATGGCATGCAGCTGAAAGATATTAAAGAAAACTCTAATGGGGTATTATTGACCTCTAAGTGAGAAAATATAGATTGTCACTCAGAAATGGCTCAGTGCTAAAAGCCTGGAAATTAGTCCTTTGTGAAGGAAAATCAGCATAAATTCCACAAAGGTGTCTCGCCAGTCTTTTAGAGTTTTTTTTCAGAATGTCAGATTGCAAATAAAGATGCCAACCTTGTAATGTTCTTATATACAAAGCAATGGTGTGTCCACATTTTTAGGTATTGCCTAATATTCAGATAGATCTTTATAGAGCAATTCTTTGGTGCCATGCTGCAAGGCATACAGGCTTCTCTACATTATCTGTCATTCCTAATATAGTCTTAAAATGAAATATGCAGTTTTGATATTGATAGATGGGAGTCATTAAACCTTACACTTTGGGGAAAGGTGAACACTTTCAAAATGAATATTATTCCCAGATTAATTTTTATTCTGAGAAGAATCCCAGTTCATATACCTAGAAAATATCCCATATACTACAGGACTCTTTGATTCCAAGAATATAGCAGAAAATGCAACTACCAATTAATGCAGAAGAATGTGGTTTTCTGAATCCGGAGCTATATAATCATACTTATCTATTATCAAACATTAAATATTGGAAATTAAGAATTGGTGTTAATTTTCCAATTTGGATAACTTTGGAATTTAAATCTATATTGCTTTTGATTGGATGGACAGTATGAGAATCAAAATACACTAGAACTCTAGTATGTCTGGAAACAATTATGTCAGTTAGAAGTTATGAAATGTAATGTCTATTAAAAGAAGATTTGACCCCTTTTTTCATGCTAGATTGACTTTATGGGAAAACTGAATTTTAAAAATTGGTAAATTTTGATGGAAGCGGGCATGTTAGAATAATAGAATAACTTTATTGTCACTTTGAATGTACACTAATTAGCATACATTAAAATGAAATTCTGTTGCATACAGCTCTCAAAAGGTCACCACTCCAATAAACACTACATAAACATGACTAAATAAATAAATACAAAATTATGCATATACCCACATATATTATATGATAGAGAGAAACAACACAGTCTAATCTGGATGTATACATGTACATGGAGAGAAAAACAAAACTTGCGAGTTTACCAGTCAGATGGCATAGGGAATAAAGCTGTTACAGAATCTGGAAGTCCTGCTAGAAATACTTTGAAACCTCCTCCCAGAGGGGAGCAACAGAAACAGACTGTAAAGTGGGTGTGTGGGGTCTCTAACGATGCTTCAAGTTCTAAGCACATAGCGCTTATAAGCAGTATTCTGAATAACAGGAAGTGAGCTTCCCTATACTCTTCTTGGCTGTCCTTACCACTCTCTGTATTGACTTTCTATCTGAGGCACTGCTGCCACCAACCAAACAGTGATGCAATTTGTTAAAATGCTCTCAATTGTGCCTCTGTAAAAAGTGGCTAGGACAGAAGGAGAAAGATGTGCTCTCTTCATCCTATTCAGGAAATGCTGATGTTGGTTTGCAGGGTTCACAATGAATGACATGTGGAGAGACCAGTTCAGATTCTTAGTTATTTGCACCCTCAGATACTTAATACTGTTGACCACCTCTACAGCTGCATCCTTGATACTGAGTGGAGTATGACCATACCAGCTCTTTCTAAAATTTATGATTATCACTTTTGTTTTACTAACGTTTAGAACCTGATTACTTTTATTGCACCAGTAGACCAGAGACTTCACCTCTTCCCTATAAGCATCTTTATTATCATCCCAGATATGTCCCACCACTGCCGTGTCATCTGCATACTTCACAATAAGATTCATAGCAGATTTGGCTCATGGGTCATCAAGGTGAACAGTAGCAGCTACTATAGCTACTACCTCAACTACAATCACAACTACAACCAAAAATAACCACCAAACCACAGCCACAAATAATCACTATCCCATCAAATAATACCACAAATGATATCCACTTACTCATCAGAGACATCATGGAACGTGATCAGAAATGTCCAAATGCCATTTTATTTGGTCTTGAAGATACCAACAAATCAGATGACATCATCAAAGTTCGCAACATCATAAGCAACTCCAATACAATAAACATCTCTCCTGAAGATATCATTGAAATAACCAGAGAAGGCCCTGAGTTCAAATACAATGACGGCTCAGTGGCCCCAAGATTTTGTAGAGTTGTTTGCAAAAATAAGTCCAGCAAATGTATATTCATTCATACAATAAACACCATTGCTAAAACCAATCCCACCCATAACAAACTTCGCTCAAGAGCAGACTTATCCATACTGCGAAGAATCTGCTCCCGTGAACTTCGCACAGAACTCAAAAAATGTCTAGACAATAGAGAGAAGGACTTATACATTGACTACCGTGCTGATTGTATTAAAAGTAAATCATACAACCCACAACTCAGCATCCAACCCTACATCATCCAATCCACCATCACCCCAAACTAGGCATGCACACGCCTAACTACCTCAATTCCAACTACAACTGGCCTTACATGCAAGCTACTCACTGCAAAAAGCCTCATAAATAAAATAACCTGAATTTCTCCTCTGTGAAACATGGCTCAACTCATCTCTCCCTGACTCCATTACCACAGTAAGAGACTATCATGTTTACTGATCAGATTGTGAAATCTGTAGAGGAGGTGGTGTTGCTACATCCAAGTTACCCAGGAGTTTGCTCTTCCTGAGACCATCGTCTGTGAACTGTCTTTAAATAGCACATTTTGATTCTTACTATGCTCCAGAGCCCCTGATTATGACATTGAACATGTAAACAAGTTAAATTCACTACTAACATGGGCAACATCCTGCTCACACACTTTTATCTTTCTTGGTGACTTCAATCTACCTTGTATTAATTGGACCGTAAATGAATGTACAACTGAACCCATACATGCAACTGTCAGCTTTAAAATTCAGCTGTCACATTTCATGGAAGGGGGGGTGGAGGAGTTGAAAAGTTCGAGGTTATTCTGTATATCATATTAAGAAATTCCAGTTGCAGTTAATTGGTTCTCATGATTTATGAAGTGTAGAAGTGGGAGGAGAGAAGGTGGATTCTGTGTAACACGCGAAAATAATTTCACTTTGGGAAATTGCCTTTGACATGCCTGATCTGTTCCTAAATAAATCAATTGGAGAGAAAATGTCTCGGAGTGATTGACATCATGGATACCTTCTGGATGCCTTACAGCAAACTTCTACAATGTTCTAACAAATCTGGGACTGGAACAACAAGTAACCAACAACACTAGACTTAACAACTGCCTCGATCTCATCTTCTGCAACAGTTTGAATTCAATTTACAGAATACAAATAAAAGAACCCTTTTCCAACAGTGACCACAGCATGATTGACTTTTGTCTCAACATACATGCTCACAAAAATCATCATAACGACGGGATACCCAATTATAACTTCAATAAAGGCAACTATGATCTTATAAACAATGATCTCTCATCTCTTGATTGGCAAATTCTATTCACTGGATGCAATACTGTCGAAGACCATTACAACATATTTTTACTTGAAGTCAAAAGATATGTACCAATAACAACTCCCAAAATTATCCATAACAATAAGGAAGCTCCAATCCAAAAAGAAATCCCTTTGGCAGAAAAACAAATCTGGTCATGTTGCCAACTTCAAAAGCCGATACAAAAATTGATTCCACCAGATAAAGACTGAATGCACCAATTATCACATTAAGCACATTAAGAGGAAAACCTTCTACACACCAATTCCACCCGCACTTTCTACAACTTTGTAAACAACAAACTTAAAGACTCGAGGTCCATCCCACTCCTGAAAGGACCTAATGGTAAAGACTGTAACAATGGCACCATTAAAGCCAACCTCTTTAACACATTCTTTGGCTCAGTCTTTGTAAACAGCAATGGATCATGCCCAATATTTCCTAGTTAAACCGCAGACAACTACAATGATTTAATATGTATCGATTTTACAGAAGATTATGTTGAAAAAGCAGTACGCAATCTAAAACCATCTCTATCTATTGGACCGGATGGAATATGTGCCTACTTCTTAAAAGAGCTATCCACTTCCATAGCAGAACCTCTAAGCATAATCTTTGATAAATCTTTCATGACCAGCTCCTTGCCTAACCTATGGTCACAAACCATAGTCATCCCCATCTTCAAAAGGGGAGACCCCAGCCTAGTTGAAAATTACAGACCAACATCTTTATGTTGCGTCACCTGTAAAGTCATGGAATCAATTATTAACCAATCCATCATCCTCCACTTAGAGACAAACAACCTACTCTCTAACAAACAATTTGGTTTCAGAAAAAAATTATCCTGTAATCTGCAACTCCTACACTCCAAAAACATAAGTGCATCTTTTATAGAGCAGTTCTTGTGATGGGCAAACTGTAATGAGTCAAATACAGGAGGAAGCCATGAAGCTATATAGTCCTTTACCAATCTCTCAAAACATTTCATCATAATGGAAGTGAGTGCAACTGAACGGTAATCATTAGCAATAGCACTTAAAACTTTGCAGTGCTTTACAGCCTAAGCGGTTTACAGAGTCAACATATTGCCCCCCAACACTCTGGGTCCTCATTTTACCCACCTTGGAAGGACGGAAGGCTGAATCAACCTTGAGCAGGTCAGGATCAAACCCTTAAAGCCTGTCAGCAGATTTCACCTCCAATACTGCATGCTAAGAAGTAACTATTAAGGCATGTGATAATAAGGCTTTTGGGGGGGGGGGCACTGGTACAATGATTGCAGTGTTCAAACATGATGGAACTATGGCCTGATGCAACAAGAGATTGAAGATATCTGTGAGAACAGTGGCCAGCAGGTCAGCACACTCCTTAAGTCCTTGCCTGGGGATTTTATCAGGACCAGCAGCTTTCCGAGTACTGACTTTTTGCAGAACCTTCCAAACAGCAGTTGTATCAAACCTGAGCACCTGCTCATGAGGGAGAGGAAGAGACTTCCTTGCTGGAAAATTGTTTGTGGCTTCAAACCATCCAAAAACATATTTAGCTTGTTTAGAGAATCCGTGTCGATCTTACACGTCAGGGAAACTGCCTTATAGTCAGTAATAACCCGGATACCTTGCCACCTTTGTCTTGAGTCCATAGGATCTTGAAAGAAATTCTGTACTTTCTGACTATAGGCCCACTTTACTGTTTTTATAGCATGTCTCAAATCACATGTAACCCAATGGCAATATTCACAGCTACAACATTTGTTAACAACTTTATTTGGTCCACCAGCATTTTCACATTTGGAGACATCTACTAGAACAGCTTATTAAATTGTTTAAAACTAAAAAACCTACTATTAGTATTGTAGATATTTGTTATTTGTTATCAGTAAATCAGTCTGATATGTAGATGTTAAAAAATGAATAGAATTAAGAATTAGTATTGCCAATAAGTAAATGTCTTCACTTCTATATCACGAGTATCAATGAATATTGAACTACAATTTATACAATAAAATATTAGAATTTACTAGAATATAGCATTTACTTCTCTACATTATGTCTATATAGAAAATAATTGTCTAGGACAGCATTTTGTTGGAGGTGTAATAAGGATAATGCTTCTTTAAGACACATATTTTTTTACAATATTCTATACTTATTACATTTTGGGGGAAGATAGTGGATTAAATAAATATGACTATGTGCCAAACTTAAAATGTTCAGAGGGTGATATTTTCTCAAATTACATATTTATTTCATGAAATTTGACAATTTGACAATGTAAATGGATTCTCCATGCCCTTACTATAGCCAAAAGATTGATAATGCCGCATTGGAAAATAAAAGTACGGGCCAATTTACCCAATGGATTGAAATCATGATTGCCACCAATGATAGACTACCTAAACATATAGACTTTGTATGGATAATTCAGAGGACATATGGGATGCATTTATACAAAGGACAATAAGTTAAAGATGTTGTATAAATGTAAAGATAGTTATATAAATGTGTGTGTGTGTGTGTGTGTGTGTGTGTATATGGCATTCAGCTTTGTTTAGGTATTTTCCCACGTCATTGTAGTTGTGCTTTTAAAGTTGTAGCAACGTTTCAGCAGAATCTCATCTGCCATCATCAGGCTTCTGTAAGAAGGCAGATGAGATTCTGCCGAAACGTTGCTACAACTTTAAAAGCACAACTACAATGATGTGGGAAAATACCCGAACAAAGCTGAATGCCATACATGTAAGTACCCGCGAAAACTTAAGAAAACATATATATATATATACCTGAATAATATTTGCATTAGGTGAGTATATATTGCAGAATTGTAGATCTGTTATAACATTATATTATAAGTTGTTTTTTTCTGTTGTATTTTTTGTTTTTCTTTCACTTTTTTAAAAAAGCACTTTTTATGCATTGTTTCTTTTTTTGAGAATGTATGTATCTACACTACAATTATTCTTCTGTTCTATTAATTTTCTTTTTCTATTATTACTTTAAAAGCAATAAAAATAAATTATTCATTTCCTATGCAATTTTCTATGAATTCGCAACATGGCATTTTTGCTATAGAATGTGTACACTCCTAAATTTGCTTAGGCATATCAGATGACATGAACCATCATTTGCTGGAATAGCCCTGGGGTAGTGATTGCATTATAAAGCAAGAGAAAGATTTTATGTCAGACATCCAGTTTTCTTCGATTCTCAACAACATTATTACTACGCCTTTCAGCACTATTTGCTCTCCATAAAATACAGTCAGTGCTATCAACTGATGGAAAGATGATGGAGTCCTTCTGTAAGTGAATTATTTTGTTGAGATTCCAGAGCAGGTTAAAATGCATTAACTATTTCTAACTCAGTATTATAATAAGCCTATGAAGCCAGAGATTTAGTCTCTGATCTCTCTGATCTCCAAAAGGATCTTTGGAGAACAGGAGTTGTGTTTCGCTGCAGTAGAGTAAGCTAAACTTATTTTTATTATTGTGTTTGATACACTGTGCCATGCTGAGTGATGATAGTAGAAGTCAATGTATGGAACACACTATATTAGGAAGTGTTAGGATCAGGCAGACCAACAATATGATTTTGTATAAATGAATGAATCAACCAACCAACCAACCTTTTATTAAGCTGGTAGATTAACTGTAAATGCAGTAGGATGAATTCTCAGAGTTTAAAAAATTTAGATAGAATGTTTGGATCCCATTGCCAGAAGTATTTGACTTGGAATGGCCACTTTTAAAGTGGCATCAGCTGAAATTTGTGTGTATCTCAGTATAGTGGAGTAAATTAAAGATTGTTGATTTAAGATATTTTGCCACATACTTAATCAAAAAAACTTAGCATATTAGTACTTGCATTCCTCCATTTATTTTATCTTCTGCTGTAGTATTGTTATAAAGCAAATTTTCTAGTGGAAATTCATGGCACAGATCTTCTTTGATTACTCATTTTTAGATCTTTTGTGGGGTTTTGCAGATCTCATTAATGCAAGTGAGATAGTACCTATGAAATGACAGAATAAAGGATGCAGAATTATTATAATTACATCATTCAAGTAGAAAGCTTTTGTTTTGCCCCTCAATTAATTTCAAAAATAAGTTTATTAGATCATGAATTATATATTGCCCAGTTAACCTTTGAAACATTTGACCCTGTAAATGAGTTGGCAATTAGTATTTATGATCCAAAGGCATAAAGGAGGAAATCTTAGAACAGCATGGAAGTTGAAGAACAGGGAAAAGTGACATATTAGGGCTGCCACATTTTTGTTTATTCTTGTTGGGTTCCATTACTTTTTATTTTTTATTTTGTATTATTATATTATTAGTGTCAACTTGCATGGAACCCTGACAAGTGGCTTTAACTGTATAGACTATTCAGTGCTGCTTACATAAGATGAGCAGTCATATAAATTAAATGTTACAGAAACATAATTAATTGGATTTAGATTATTCTGAATATTGTGCACATTATTCAAAACAATTTGGAATTCCTCAGGATAATTACAATATTATAAATTCAACTGCATAAAATATATTTTAAAAATCCTGTGTTACAGTATATTGCAAAACACATGGAACATATTTTACAATGACTATGATAATGATCTATCACTATTATTGTATGTACACTGAGAACTTATGCACTGGAGACAAATTCCTTGTGTGTCTAATCATACTTGGCCGATAAAGAATTCTAATTCTAATATAAGGCTGTGATTCCACATCCAGCTGGCTTGCCTTTGTATTGAATTTTATTGGGAAATCCATCATCAACAATATTTTAACCCATCATTAACATTACTTTCCATTTCCAATCATACCCAAGACTTTTCATAAAAATCATACTGGATTATTAATAGCAGTAGCTAGATTTTCTTGATGTGGCTGGTGGTAATGGTTTTTACATCAGTATTAACCCCAGTCCTTGTCAAAACGTAGACACGCTCATGCAGCATTCCGTTTCCTATAGCTGAAGGAGAGTGACTAGCTCAAAGTTCCCCAGCTGGCTTTGTGCCTAGAGCAGGACTGGAGCTCACTACCTCCTAGTTGTCTGCTTCAATGTCCTACCTGTCAATGACTTCTTTAGCTTCAACCACAATAACACACGAGCAAACAAAAGATACAAACTCAAAATAAACCGCTCCAAACTCAATTGCAGAAAATACAACTTCAGCAACAGAATGGTCAATGCCTGGAACTCACTACCTGGACTCTATGGTTACATCCTCAAACCCCCAAAACTTTAACCATAAACTGTCTACTGTGGACCTCACTCCATTCTTAAGATATCTGTAAGGGGGTGTGCGTAAGCACACCAGCGTGCCTACCGTCCCTGTCCTACTGTTCCCATTTATTCATACTCATTTATTATGTATATACTTATACCAGTTTATAGTTATATGTTTATACTATACGTTATGTTCATACTTATACTTGTTTTCTCATACATGCTTGACAAATTAAACTAAATAAATAAAATAGTTTGTAGTCCTGTGCCTTAACCACTGCACCAAAAAATAACTGTTTTCCCCCTCCCCCAAAGAGAATTCCCAGTAGACACGCCTATTAGCTGCTGGGGATGAGAACAGAACATTTGGGGGAGGGGTCAAAGGTATTGAAATGTTCCAAACCATGACAAGATGCACTCCATGTTGCAATGTTTTTCAATCTAGTATCCATACTCCAAAATATTCAAAAGCTGTTAGATGCAAGTGAAGTAGATATCAGTAGAGAATAAGAAGAGATTAGGACAAAAATAAAGTCTTCTCTGTTTTTGCTTATTTCTAGTACTACTTCTTTTAGTACTATTCTTGGGTGTGCCCAGATCAGAAAATCATCTTACCAATCTGGAAGAGTGTTTCCAAGAGCCTGAATATGAAAACTGGCTGGCTATTGCCAGACATGGTCTAAAAAGGACCTTGAAACCTAAGACAATTGTGATTGTCGGAGCAGGAATTAGTGGACTGACTGCTGCCAAATTACTCAGAGAAGCTGGACACCAGGTAATTACCCAACTGCCTTTTTACTCAGCTGATGAAAAGACAAATTAGATGTGTTTGGGATGGGTTTGGAACTGAAGCACTCATTGGGATGGGCAAGTAGAGATAGTCCTTGACTTTCAACTGTCTGTTTAATGACCTTTTGAAGTCACAACGGTACTGAAAGAAGTGAGGTCTGACCAGTTCTCATAGTTACAACTGTCACAACATCCTCATGGTCACCTGATCAAAATTTGGACATGTGGCATGTATTTATAATGGTCATGTGATCACCATTTGCAACCTTCCCAGCTGGCTTTTGATAAACAAGTCAATGGGAAAAGCTGAGTTTGCCATGTGATTTGCTTAACAATCATGGCAAAAAATGGTAAAATTCGGGACACCTCACTTAACAGCTGCCTTGCTCAGCAATGGAAATTCTGGTCCCAATTGTGGTTGTAAGTTGAGGACTACTTCTATAATATTTGATGAATAACACTTAGCACTTAGCTATAGCACTTATATACCACTTCACAGTGCTTTACAGCCCTCAATAAGCAATTTACAGAGTCAACATATTGGCCCCAACAATCTGGGTCCTCATTTTACAAACCTCAATGGTGAGACCCAAATTGCCAAACTGCTGGCAGCCAGTGATCCGCAGAAGTCACCTGAAGCCTGAATAATATAAAGATGAAAAATCAATTATTATTTGTGAATATTTACCTCAATTATTTGAATTTTTTATTTAATTGATGGTCTCCTAGAAGAGCCGGTGTCGTGTAGACATTAAGACAACAAGCTAGAAACCGGGAGGCTGTGAGTTCTAGTTCTGTCTTGGGTTCAAAACCAATTGATGACCCTGGGCCAGTCAGACCCTGAAAGGAGGCAATGGCAAATAACTTCTGAAAATAATTTGCCAATAAAACTGTAGGGACTTGTCCAAATAGGCTTTGAGAGAGGGGGGAGGAGGAGGAATTATTTAAGGACCAGACTTTATAATAATTGTTGCAATATATTAATAGCCAATCGAGAATATACCTCCAGCCAGTAAGGGTGCTGGTTGCAGGGTTTGCAAAGGTAAATCAAGGTTCACGTGAAATCAAAGGGAAATTTGCAAGGCAAGGCACACACAGGTACAGATCACCAAACACTTAATGAGAAGAGAGAGAAATTAGAATCCATTCTTCATCAGTACTCTTTTCTCCTAGGTTGTGATTTTGGAAGCCAGTAACCGTGTAGGAGGACGCATAATGACTCACCGAAAAGAAGACTGGTATGTGGATTTGGGCCCAATGCGATTGCCCAAAACCCACAGGTAAGGTTGATTAAAAGGTATTTCTCCATTCATCATCTGCTATGAGAGGCAAATTTAGTCACATTTAATAAATTGTTGCTGTCCTGAAATGCTAGATATATTGTTAGAAAAAAGGAGAACTGTTAAATTGCTTACTAGAACAGGACAACAGTTGTGTTGGTAAGGACTTGACTCTGAAAACTATTCAGAAAGCTTGCATCTTGCAACATCATTTCTGGGCGGCCCATATAAAAGTAAAATTCATTTAAAGACACATAATAACAATAGCTATAATAAATCTCTATAGAGTGGTAGCAGTAGCCAATTTCATCAATGTCCTAAACCTGGAGAAATGGCCACATTTTTAAAGTTTTCAGAAATGCCAGCTGTGTCAAGGCCAACTAGATTTGGATGGTGGTGGAGAGTTCCAGAGAGTAGAACTAGAATTGTGGAATTTTGGAAACTGTACTATTACTTCAAATGGTGATCAATGTATTAAATTAAGGATAGATACTTCCTTGAAACTGTTTATTTTCCTAAAAAGACTCTGTCACGGAAAGCTGAGGTGTGAAACTTTTTAAAAATATATAATTTTACAGTGGGGTTATATATCAATTAATGGAGGATCTTGCTTGCTATCAAAGCAAGTAGTCATTAGGATTACAAGCTATTACTTGGATAATGGTCAGTCTCTTTCTAAGGTGCAATTCCAGGAGAACAATGGTAGGGACAGACATTTGTCTTTGGTGGTCATTGAGAATCACGTAAGGTTAGAACTGAACAATCCTTAATCTGACCAATTTGTGTTGCTCTTTCCCTGTGATAAAGAAATAAGTTCTCAAATAAATTTGGGTTTCTTTTCCCCTCACAGAATTGTACGTGAATACATTAAAAAGTTCAAACTTCGTCTAAACCCATTCAATCAGACTGATGAGAATGCCTGGTATTTCATTCAAAATGTCAGACAAAAAATGAAACCCAACAATTCTGGAAACTTTGGATACCAACTTAACCCCAATGAGAAGGGAAAATCTGCAAACCAGCTGTTTGAGGAGACGCTGAACAAGGTACTTTTAAGGAGTAGATGGGATGTACAAGCAGACAAAACTAATGCACTTCTTTAGTTATGGTTGGTATTATGAGAATGGAAGAATAATATCAGGGATGAGAAAGGTTGAGGAAGGCTATTATAATACTTATTTAAATAATGTGCATAAAGCACTTTATATCACATACAAAATATATTAAATGACATGAAATATGAAAAAAGTGCATATTAACAGAGTAATACAATTCAGTCTAGTTTCTAATAATTTTAATAGTCTTAAGGATATTTAAATAGTTTTAATAGTTTTAGAGCCATGGTGGTGGTGCAGTGGTTAGAATGCAATACTGCAGGCTACCTCTGCTGCCTGCCGGCTGCCTGCAATTTGGCAGTTCAAATCTCACCAGGCTCAAGGTTGACTCAGCCTTCCATCCTTCCAAGGTGGGTAAAATGAGGAGCCAGAATGTTTGGGGCGCAAAATGCTGACTCTATAAACCGCTTAGAGAGGGCTTTAAAGCACTGTAAAGCAGTATATAAGTCTAAGTGCTATTGCTTTTTATATTATGGTTTAAGTCACCTAGAATCACTTTGCATATTAAATAAATAATTAAAGGGATAAATAGATATAATTTTATCAAAGGGCGCTTATACAAAACTATATCTATATTACATGTAATGCATAAAATTAAAAATACCATATATACCATACTTAGTTTTTGATAGGTTCCAATGGTCCTTCTTTTTTTCATAAATTGAAATACACACACACACACACACACACACACACACACACACACA